CGTCGGGGAATAATCTGTGTGCATTCTACGTTTGCGAGAACATTCCCATGATGGCATCCGAAAGGAGACTGGATACGTTTGTCAGAACACTATTCACACCATTATCGATATCTAGTCACACAACTAACACACATGCATATTGAACTCCTTCTTAACAATTCAGAGAGGTGCGGGATAAGCTCCTACCATCGGACCGCATACTAGCACTTCAAGAGGAAATAGCCGGATTTTTGCTCGACCAGGTCATAGATCCCAAAGGAGAATACTATTACCCGCTACCGCCCCCATAAACCACTTGTCATCGTGCTCCGGAGGCACCAAGGCAACATATGTAAGAGAAATTGTATATGTATATACATGTGTATGTGTGAATAATTAATGGCGTTGGTTGTGAGACATTCGATGATATATATATATATGCATAACGTGTACAATTTGTAGTATTGTGAAATACCAGCAAACAAAAAAAATTGTAGTATCGTACGAGAAAACCTATTTATATATATGCATAACGTGTACAATTTGTAGTATCGTGAAATACCAGCAACCAAAAAAAATTGAATGGAAAATAAAGCCAAACACCCCCCCCCCCAAACAATTTGTACCGGTTGGTGTTACCAACCGGAACTAATGTCCTACGCGCACATGGGTCTGGCTCGTACCACGTGGTGTCACTTTAGCGCCGGTTCGTGACGAACCGGTACTAAAGGGGGGGGGGGGGGCTTTAGTCCCCAATCTTTACTGCCGGTTGGCAAACCGGCACTAAAGGCCGTTACGAACCGGCACTAAAGGCCGGTTCTGCACTAGTGAATTGCCCCGATTCTTACCCCATTCTCGCTGCACATGTAGAACGGACGATTCTGGTTCATTTGTGTGTGAGACACCCTCCGAACAACGCCCACCCGGCACCGCGGACAGACAAAGACTGGCATGTCCACGCGCGCCCGGCTCTGCATCCGCGAGGTGGCGCGGGAGCTTGAGGAAGACATGGAGCTCGGAGCCAAAAGGGGATTTCAACGCCACTGCGCCCTCCACAGCTAGCTTCCCACCGCCGTGCTCTCTCTCTCTCTCTCTCTCGCCGTGGTCACCGCAGTACTCTCTGTCGCCATGGTCACCGCCGTTGTGTGACGCGCGCTTATATAGCACACCCGCAACGGTTCTCTGCTCAACGGCTCTCTGCTGGGTCCCACAAGCCACGCGTGCACCAGTCTGAATAGAATTGGCCGTCTCTGCCGCCTAGTCCCACCTGTAAGGGCCGAGTCAAAAGGTTGACCTGATAGAGACGGTAGAGTTCACGGAACGAGTCGGTGCGCACGGGACTAGGGGTAAAACTGAGCACAATTCGCATATGAGGGCAAAACTGAGCACACGGACACCACTGAGGGCAAAAGGATAATTAACCCAAAAATAAATGTTGTCAAGAAATCATTATTTTCCATTTTAGGCATCATTGACATTTAAATTGATTTAGTGGGCACAATGATGTGAAGAGTAGCTGGGTCACAAGAATTGTTTGAAAGTAACCTATGGACTAATCTTGATACAAGGCTCAATGTCAACTAGGGCCCTCTAGGGGGCTTTATCATGATGAAGTACACCCAGTTTTACACAGCTTACATTTTAGTAGTTGGTTCTTCTTGGTTGATAATCTCATGAAGAATGGACTTTGCTCCGGGCGTGCTCTGTTACAAGTTGAGAACAATAACATGGTTCTGCATTATAAGGACCCCACACACAAATCTAAATCATTACTATTGATTATTGCGCATTATAACTCTTCTCCGTGTCCCGCACCAACATGCCATCACTTTTACTGTTTAATTAATTTTTTCTCATATAATACACCACTGAGTGAGTTATTTTCTCACTGACTCCCACATAATTGGATGCTGAATTACAATTTCATTTCCCAGTCTTCTTTTCAAGTGCATAGTCACTAACTATGAAGTCACATTTAATTATTCTATTCACACAAATAGGATTTGTAGCAATTAATCAATTTCCACCTTTTCCTTTCTAGCAAGTCACACTTTGTATTAATTTTGCCCCTACCTATCACCATGTTAATCCACATCTTCTCAATTGTTTGGGCACATTATAATTTACGGATTAGGATTATATGAGCAATGGAGCTTTTACGAGATTACACATGGTGGGAAATATGCGTTCAAGTAACCTTATATTGTAAACAATGTATAGAGTCTCATAATATTGTACAAAGGTTGAAGATAGGAAAGATAGGACTGTGATGTCATTACATGTTGCATCCTACAAGACAAGAAACAATATGACATTGTTCGCAAGATTCTGGTGAGTGTGAAGCAAATGAATCATTTCTAAATAAAACTCTTTATAAAAGCCAGTAAGTTTACTTATATTTTTATTCGCAAAGAACTTAGAATTTATGGTAATTATAGGCAACTGAAACAGTGATAAAATCATATTGTTTCTACATGTACATGTACATTTACTTATTATTATTATTATTATTATTATTATTATTATTATTATTATAAATTTCATTTCTAACAACATGCAACCAGTTAATATTAATAGAACTTAACTAATATACATCTATCTAAAAGTAGGCTAGCCTGTGCGGACGCACGGGTTGACGACTAGTCCTCATAATTAGAGGCCCCGTGTGGTCCTAATCTCCTCCCTCTAGTTCTTCGGCGATGATTACCTTTGGACGGCGAAGCGCTGTCGGATCGTGAAGATCGTACGCTTGCAACCAAGTAGAGAGGCCGTCCTTTCGGTTTTCTGTTTGAGGGATCGTTTGTGGGCGGTTTGAGGGATCGCCATCGGCGTTCAAGGGACTCCAAGTACGATCTACATTGATTCGTCTACTTCCGCTGCACTCCCTGAGTCGGTAACGATCGTTGATCACAACCCATTTTGCATCTTCATATTGTTTCGGGGTGATCGTAGGGTGATTTTTTTTGCTTTCTTCTACGTTTCCCAACAGCAACCAGTCTGGATAGATTGAGCCACATCTTGAAAATAGGCAAATCTAGACAGATCCCAAAAGGTTTAATAATTTGGCTAAATATGTTGGAAAAATTTATTTTCATTTTATTTTCTGCCACTACCGTCTTTGCTAAAAGCCAACCGACCATTTTCCTTTGGTCTACAATGAAAATTTTCAACATGAACTCATCTTTTTCTTGCACGTCATCCCTTTGTTTCCTTCTTCCCCTTCTCATCTCCTTAGACAGTGAGTCAACGATGACTTGGACGAGCGGCAACCTGCACCGGCCATTTGCCCTGCGCTGCCGCAACCACGTAACATGGCTGGTTAGGAACTTAGGCTAACTAGGGTGGTGACAACACAAAAGATGAGGAACATGCACCGTTTGAAATATAATTGAAAGGCTTGCAATTTTTCTCTCCATAATTTTGTATCAAGTCTCTCGAAACAACAATGTTTGTTCTTTAAAACATCCGTCATTAGCTAGGGAAGCTAGGGTGGGGTGGAAACTACCAAATGATCTGTCATTTGATGTAATATAATGAAATAATTGACAGGGTTGCAATTTGTCTCCCCTTAACTTTGTTTCCAGTCTCTAAAAATAACAGTGATGTATTCCTTCTTGTGAATTTATTGTGTGACGAAATAATTATGGGCTGTGATTCAAGATTTCCCATAAATTAATCATTTTACCAGTTATTTGTTGACAAATTAAAGATTGATTATCGATTGTAAACTTATTATATTGCCCAATATTGATCTGATTTGACCGGCCAGATGAAAATCATTACCAAAGAAAATGCGAGGATGGAAAGCCGATGTCAGGATGCGGGTAATGTGCCAAGGGAGGGTAGCTGAAGGATGGGCGGAAGAAAAACTGGTATAAGATGGAACCTTACGTCTTTTTAGGTAGTAGAGAAACAAAGATAACAATATAAAAAAAGCCAACTAGGCAGATCCAACTAATCTGGATCATGAAACTAGATCAATCCAACGACCTAGCTTGCTTCATTGGCGAGGGCTCAATATGTTTAGTGTGCAATTATTATCATACCATAATCAACGTGAACACTAATCACATAATTAACAAAAAATATTGTCCTACTTAATTAGTAGTTGGCATCCACATTGTTAGAACCCGGTTTTCTCTCCTTGCCAGCAGGCTAGCCGTTTCTTAATTAGTACCCCCTCCGCCCCAAAATAAGTGACATGGTTTTAGTTCAGGTTAGCACGTCACTTATTTTGGGATGGAGGGTACATGTTTGAAACGTCTATTCTGTCTTCTTACTATCTGGATCCATCTGTCAGATAATATGTAGTTGTTAGTTATTTATTTCGTTCCAATCCTATCACTAAGTTATCTCTCTTGCAGAAGTGGCGGCTTAGTTAACTTCGTTGCTCTCCCTATCTCCTCTGCATCACCGGAAGTCATAGATTGCAAGTTGGACGACATTTTTTTATTTCCAATGGGACAGAGGCAACTAATATGTATATCATACTTGGTTTTTACGTGGCGTAAGCGATGGTGCACGACGTGCAACCAGCTGGCTCACCTTATCGCGGACACGCTTTCGTAAGAATAAGTCAATAACTGATAATTGAGCACCTAATCACATGGCGGACCAAGTGGATGTTTTATTAACTGCTGGGCATTAATTATGTACGTCTGCCAGGTATACCAGCTGCCTGTCGCAGCAAGCAAACCAGAAGAGCCCTCAACCCCCTCCTTTCATTTCTCTTTCCCAGAGATTGCTCAGGATCCCTCTCTCTCTCTCTCAAGTAAGGTGGTTCGTGCTCAACTGTAAGAAGCTGCGGATTCTTGAAATCTAAACAGCTAGATTAGTATCCCGGACTCAGGGTAATTCCTCTATCTCAAGGTCAGTAGTTGACTCCTCGCAGTTACTTGTTTTCAAATTTTAGTTCGTAGAACGGTTGTTCATGTTTTTCTAGACTAGAATTACTGTCTTATTTTGGCAAACCCGAAGTACTGTGGCCGCTGAAATAAGCGTGGCTTGTTAAATCATCAGAAATGGCCAGCCTCGAACTACCGAAAGAACTACCATACGACTTTTTGAAGGACATCACGGATAACTTCTCTGAAGAGCGAAAAATTAGTGCAGATCCATTTGGAACACTTTATAAGGTTTGCTTTGGCCTTCCCTATTGTTCTGTCCATTATAGTGAGAAGATGCTAATATGTAATATACACGAGATTAATCAGGGAATTATACCACATGATGGCAAATTAATTGCTGTCAAGCAACTTAAGCACAACGCACCATTAGCAGCTGACAAAATATTAAGGACAGAGGTTCAGACTATTATGGAGCTGAAACATGAAAATATAGTACACTTGGTTGGATTCTGCTCTGAAACAAACAGGAAACTGGTGCAGTTTAATCATAGATATATTGAAGCAGACATTACAGAAAGCTTACTCTGCTATGAATATTTACCTACGGGAAGCCTTCAGGAAAATCTATTTGGTATGTATATGATATATTTTCCATTTCACTTTTTTTTGAGGCATTTGCACTTCTGATCTTCAATCTCTCAGTGTTCGCATATTTTTAGTTTGGGCATGGCTTCTAGTTTCTCTTAATGTTTTCATTATTTGTTTTCTACTTCATTTAGCTTTCAAACCGATATATACAGGAAAGAACAAGGGTGACACTTTGGCTGAACATGTTATTGATTGGGACACACGCTTCAAAATAGTTAAGGGGATTTGCCGGGGTTTACATTTTCTACACAACTTGGATTGTCCCATTATCCATATGGATCTCAAGCCAGAGAATATATGGTTGGATGAGAACTTTGTCCCCAAAATTGTGAATTTCTCACTCTGCAGGATCTTTGGTGAAGATCAGACCAGACTGTACACACAAACAGTGGTGGGATCATAGTAAGCTAATCACAAATTTGCGCACTATTAATTTGTTCCGCAATTCTAAAGTCAGCTTCTTGTCACCTCTTTAGTAATTCTTATAACTCTCAATGTTAACGACATTCAGTGGACATATGTCTCCTGAATATGTATACAGAGGAGAAATCTCGGCTAAGACAGACGTTTATAGTTTAGGCGTAATGATGATCGAGATCATAACAGGAGAGAAGAATTGTCCAGAAGCAAACCAACTGTGTGGAATTGCATATATTGACACAGTAAGTCAAAATCTTAACTTTATAATTAGAGTTATGTGGACATTTACTAGCTGTTGCTACATTTCATCTTGAATATATTCCCCATTCTGCATGTAGATATCTAAACGTTGGAACACAGAGCACATATTATTCATGTACTCATCCTTAGATGCGGATGACCTTCAACGAGTAAAAGCTTGCCTCGATATTGGGCTACGGTGTGTGAAGATTAATCCCGGCAAGAGGCCTTCAATAAATGAGGTTATCCGCTATCTCCGACAAGTTGTATTCCGGACGGGGTACAAATATGAGCGCAAGAATCCTCCAGTCCCTCTTAGAAATGAGATTTAATTTCATGCCGAAAAGCAGAGAAGAAACTTGCTTAATTTTCTTTCAAAGACTGAGCGCTTTTGAAATCTAATGTTACGTGCTATTGAGTTTTCTTTGTTACACGTTAAGCTTTTGTCCCAGTTATGTATTGTTTGATGGAGGCACAATGGTGTTTCCCAATTACCAGCCATGTCTGAATGTACGTGGTTCACCCTGTGCTACCCGGTGAAAAAAATTGCACGCTATAATGTACAATGTCTCGCTAATATCGTGTTTT